GTTTTGGATCATCTGGGATTGGCGGCTCTGGGATGGAGCCCGCGTTGCTGACCCCAAAGAGGCGTTTTGTTGTTCATTCATGCAGGGAGCAAATTATTGTCAAGCTGGTAAGTAATATATACCTGAATTATTTATGATTTTACCATGTTATCCCTGGCTTGACGGGGCGGCAAAGTGGCTGGACATTCCTGGTTTATCAAAGCTGGAGCAGATGAGTAAAACACATCCCTACTCGAAATAATTGTCAGATGTCCCTCGTGGCGTTGGACGAGGCGATAACAGATTTGAGAGTAGTCAGCTGTTATGTAGGTGATGCCCAAAAACTAAGGTAATGGAGTCAGACGCCTGGGGCGACCGACACCAACAAATGTCGATGCTTCGGAAGGTCTCATGACAATTAAACAGGTAACGGTCCACTGATATAATGCTCATCTAACATATCACAGATAATTTCTTTGAACGGTTGCTTGGTATGAGCCTGGTTAGACTTGGCAATTTTCCATTTCTTGTAATGTAAGAGTTCGCGAACTTTTTGGACTGATGGACACGCTGCAGATATCTAGGACTCAGTACACTGCTTCGGAGGGCTTACTTTCATCCCGACTGAAATGGCTGGGGTCAGCCTCAGCAAACCGGACAGAACGTAACCGGCTCTATGGTGGCATATGAGCGAGATGACCCCTGACCACCATGACCCGATCCTGCCAGGCCTGACCTGACCTGGCTTGAACCACTCCCCAGCTGGACGACGAGCGCACCTCCAGCGCCGCCATGCTGATGGCCAAGAACGACGAGATCCACCGTCTGGAGGAGATGATGCAGCACCAGCTGCAGGAGTACCAGGACCTGATGGACATCAAGGTGGCGCTCGACGTCGAGATCGCCGCCTACCGCAAGCTGCTGGAGTCGGAGGAGGCCAGGTAGGCGCGCGTCAGCCCGCCGCCCGGTGCGCCGGCGCCGCCCTGTTGTCAGCCTCCCCGCGCTGCCCTGTCGACGTGAGCGACCAAACCCGGGTGTGCAATATTGTTTGCACGCGAAAGTAACTTCCATTCTGTCCTCTCAATGTTTGTGGTCTTAGCACTTCAATTTATCATTGCACGGACGGGCTATGACTGTTGCACGAGGTTTCAGCGCAGGCTAATTAATTATTAAGGTTATTTCCCTGTGAATTGTGCGAGTGACCGCATCCCTACCGGGGAGGCGCTTGCCTCTGACCTCGGGGCTCGCGTGGTGGGCAGGCTGAACCTGTCGCCGGGCGGCCGGCACGTGGTGGGGGTGGTGGAGCGCGGCTCGCGCGCGCGCTCCACGCCGTCCGGCGGCCGCTCCGGCAAGAGGCGCCGCACCGTGATGGAGTCGGAGGAGGCCTCCTCCGTCGGCTTCGCCGTGGCCAACACCTGCCACGGCGACGTTCGAGATCATCGACGAATCCCCGAGGGCAAGTTCGTCAAACTGCACAACAAGTCAAACAAGGAGGTGGAGTGACTTTGTAGGGTTTAGTGCGGTATATTCAATAGCACCCACCACCTCCACACATTCATGTATACTTTAAGTGGCTGAAACTGGTTGATGCCAGCTGCTTGAAGCCATTCATGATTATAGCAGTTTGAAACCACGTAATGGCTTAAGTCCCATTTCTGCCACCAGTTGCTGCACATCTGCCTGGTGCGCTGCGGACCGTGTGCGATGAGTTTTCTGTGCGCCGCCTGACACCTGGCGTCCCCCGCACGGCCCCGTCGTCGCTGACGGGCGCCGTCTCCGTCCGTCGCCACCAGGTGTCGCTGGGCGGCATGCAGCTGGTGCGCAAGGCGGACGACAACGAGACGGACTACAAATTCCACCGCTCCATCAAGCTGGGGCCGGGCGAGGAGACCACCGTCTGGGCGTCCGAGGCCGGCCAGACGCACGACGCGCCGCACGTGCTCGTCATGAAGGGCCAGACCTGGTTCGTGGCCGATAAGATGACTACCACCCTGTTCGACATGGAAGGCGAGGTGAGCAGCGAGGCGGTGGCGACGATGTGTGTGTGTGTGGGGGGGGGGGGGAGATCAGATCGGCTCTGCGGGCTTTCGATCTGTTTCTTAGCGCGGTTTTTCGTCAGTCCAGTTCGTGCCGCCTCTGATGATGGTGCTGTTAAGGGAAGCTGCTGACGTCCCTGGCCACTGCTGTACAGTGATCAGAGGCACAGAAGGATCTCATAATCCTCCGCTGGTTTTCTCGGCGTGCTGATGGTGTTTTGCTAGGTCTCCATTCCACCATTCACCGAACATGATATGACGTTCCTAGCAGCCATTCACTGCACGCGTGTTGTGTGCCCTGGTATTGACTGACCACTTGTAAGCATTCTCTGTCGTCACTGACCGGGTGAATCCTTCATTAATGTCTGGCCATTGATCTTCGCCTTTCGCGTCTGATGTTCGAAATTTCGTCATCGCAAATACGTCACTGGCTGGTACATCGTTGGCTGCCAGTGACCTGTCGTGGCTGGTGTTTTGTGGCGCACCGCCGGCTTGACGCGCGGTCTGACTGCAGGAGATCGCCCAGCGCGTCTCGCAGCGCGAGAACCGCTCGGCCAGCTTCTCCACACGCCGGCAGCAGACTCTGGCCTCCAGCTCCGAGCAGGTGGGTACCGCTTCGGCGGTCGGCGTGCGCTTCTGGCCCCCGCGCGCGAGCGGCCGGTCCGATGTACGGCGACGTGCGACGCGCTCTCCCGGCCTGATCGTGGCATTGAGGGTCTGGAAGGTGGTTAAGCCGTTGTCAGCGAGCTGTGTGTGTGTGCGCGTGGGGGCGCGTGCTGCAGACCGGAGGAGGCGCCGTGCCGTCGCCGGCTGGACGCCCCGCCCCCGTCCCCCGGCGGTGTGCCCATCCGCGACCGCAGGGGCGCGTCTGCAGTGGCCCGTCCCGTGCTGAGAGCCGACCCCGTCATGCCGCTCGCCCGGCAGGTGGAGGGCGGCGCTGATGACTCGCGCGGCAGCGACTGGAGCCTCCTGAACATCTTCGGCGGCCGCCGCGCCCTGCGTCAGTAACCGGCCCGGTGAGCTCTGCTGGCTGGGGCGGGTGTCAGGTGCCATCGCACGGCCCAGGTCACCAAATGTCGCGTTAAATGGCCATAATGGTCAGCCCCAGACCGCGGGTGCGCTGATCAAAGTAGTTTGTGTCTGGTGAATGCCCTACGACGTTATCGAATGACAGCGCGATTCAAACCATCAATTTGTTCCTGTCACACGTGTTGCTCGCTTCCCCAGTGTTTCACCATGCTCGCACCACTCGCTGCTGTCGTACAGGTATTGTGCGGGAGTGGCGTGAGCTGGCCACGTGCTCGACTGACGCCGTGGCCTGTCGCTCCGCAGAGTCGGCGATCGACCGGCCGCCCACGGCGCCGGCAGCAGACCGCGCCAACCGGTCCCACCGCTCGTAGCACGCCTACTACGCCCGGCCGTCACTGCCAGCCCCCGGCCGTGAGCGCACCGCCACGCTGACAGGCCAGCCGACGGACCGTCCGTCTGTCCGTCTGCCAGCTGCTGCCAGCCGCTTCGCCCCGCTAACGGCGCGCGTTTCATCTTTTAGATGTCTTTGTCCTGCGTTGTAGTGACCGCTTCACCGCGAGTCCGGCGTTAGCGCCCCTCCGGTCGCTTGGTGCCCGCCCGGCCCCCGCCGCCCGGGCGGGCTGGCTTGGTGCTGCCTCTGCCTCCGCCTCCGCGCGCGCGCGCTGCTCGTCATCCGTGTGTACGTCATCACCCGCGCGCCCCATATTCCCGCTGAGGATATGTACAAAGTTTGACCGACCCTCCGTGGTCTGTAGGTGTAGGTGGTGCTGGGGAAGCCGCGGCCCTTCCCCTCTGGCCTGTCGGGGGCGACCGCTGACCCCGTCTGACCTGTCTGGAGAGGCCAGTGGCGCCCCTCGACTGGACGGGGGTGAAGGGTCGCGGCCAGCCGACACCCAGCGGCGGGTGTTTATTTTTGTATCACCAGTCCGGGCTCGTCTGGAGGATATATAGAATAAACGTTCTAAATCCTGCTGGTGTTTGAGTCAGTGCGCAATGGCCAGGTCGAATGCGACGGGCGATATTTCTTTGATACGCGATGACGCCTTATTTGGCACAAGACATTGCCGAGTTCATCCTGAGACGCTAGGACTCCTGTGACGTGGGAGGACATCGCTCCAGGAATTGGCTTCGGCGGGACTCGGCACACTGGCAGGAAAACAGGAGCCGCATATGTACGTAGCTGTATTTTTGACGAACAAAAACACAGGAATAGATCACGAACAACAACGCGAACCAAGTACGTTTACAGTGGACGCTTTCCAAGGCGACAGCGTACGCACCAGGGGGCACTGTTCGCCGTCGGCCAGCGCCTCCGCCACTTCTGTTGTGCGGAGGCCCGGGGCAGGCACGCCGGCCTGGTAACAACCGTCAATGTTATAACCCTGAATTGCACAACTCTGACGAAGTCACAACGGATGAGCATCTGGCGGTGCGGGGTCCACGGGCAGCGATCACATCCGCGCATCGACCTCCAGCCCATTCATCACACACTACCAGCCCCGCGTCCCGCTGGTCGCCCCTGCGCCCGCCGGGTCGGCGACTGGCCGACGCGCCGCCGCCGCCGCCGCGGTCGGGCGCAGGCAGAGTCTTTGGTGGCCTCTCGGCTGACGGAACGCCGCTCACGGGCGAGCCGAACACGCAATGATGGAATGAGCTCTATCTACAGTCGATGATGCTTTGCACTGGAGTACGAAAATAAGTATCAAAAGCGGCCCACCGGGCGGCCTAGGCGACTATTTGTGAAGCATTAGAAGCTTCCTCTTTGATTTAGACTCCTTAGTTCTTTGCGACTCGGCGCTGGCAGCGTCCTTCTTAGGCCGCAGGACGAAGTTTAGGTCATAGGCCGTGTTGATCGCATAGTAGACGTTGCAGTTCGCGGGAACGACTTTCTCTGAAACGGGACGGACAGCTGTAAGTCTAATAATGGGCCATCTGGCGCCGCGAACTTACCACAGCTTGAGTCGAAATCACCCACAGTCAGGTTTTTGGTACCTCTTTTGTACTCAACAAGCAGTGAGTCGAATCCTCAGCACGTCACATTTATAATTTTTATTGCATTTTTTTCAAAAGACCTGAATGCAAACAATGCTAAAACAGCACCAAAAATACCAGAAATCACAGCCACCAATCACAGCCAGGAGTATCATGGAATTTTCTACCTTCCGTTGTTTCACATCACAACTTTAAGGTACTCGGTCCATCGTAAGCATTATAAGCCTGTCCACCCGCCGGAACTAACCTCCATCGGGTAGCAGCTGCGCCAGCACGAAGTCGTCGGTGTTGCCCTCGATGTCGTGCTTGATCATGGCGTTGCGGATGACCTGCGGCGTGCGCTCGCTGTTGCTCAGCATGATGGACTTGTAGAGGTTGATGCCCTCGGTCTCGTGCGCCGCCGTGCGGATGGTGACGCGGATGATATAGAAGTCGGGGCGTGATGTACGGCGAGCCCGGGTCCGCCTTCTGCTGCCAGTCGGCCGGCTTCCGCGCGCTCTGTTGCGACTGGTTGGTGGCCGATGACGTCACCGAGGCGTCCAGGGACGGCACTGAAGAGCTGCTCGAGCTGGTGGACATCTGGGACCGAGCAGGCCGGGTCAGGGGTGCGATGCAGCAGGCACGCACGTCTCACACTCCGACAGGCTTTCCGACAGCGTGATTAGAGGGCGGGTCATGAAACACAGCTTTCGGTCGTAGACAGGGACGCTGACACCTCAGCAAAAACAACTAGAATATGTGAGTGGAAAATAATGAACAGAAATAACTGTGATCCAAATAATCTTGGTCCTCGTGGAACCTCATGGCAACCGTTCCGACCGAGGCAGCGCACTAATCGAGCAGCAAGAGTGACATCAGCTTCCGGCGCCCTCTACCGGATACATCCGAAACTGGACCGGCCTGCGAGCCCGGGGGGCGCGGCGGCGGCGGGCGACGTAGCTGGAGCCCGGGGGACGCGGCGGCAGCGGGCGACGTGGCTGGAGTCCGGGGGGCGCGGCGGGCAGCGGGCGACGTAGCTGGAGCCCGGGGGACGCGGCGGCAGCGGGTGACGTGGCTGGAGCCCGGGGGACGCGGCGGCAGCGGGTGACGTGGCTGGAGTCCGGGGGGCGCGGCGGCAGCGGGGCGACGTAGCTGGAGCCCGGGGGACGCGGCGGCAGCGGGTGACGTGGCTGGAGCCCGGGGGACGCGGCGGCAGCGGGCGACGTGGCTGGAGCCCGGAGACGCGGCGGCAGCGGGCGACGTGGCTGGAGCCCGGGAGACGCGGCGGCAGCGGTCGACGTGGCTGGATGCCCGGGGACGCGGCGGCAGCAGAGGCGACATGGCTGGAGCCCGGGGGACGCGGCGGCACGCAGGCGACATGGCTGGAGCCGAATAATTTGCCGGCTGTCGGGCGGCTGCAGGCACCGGCGCATCGGGACAGTGGGGGACCCGACCGCGGGAGGGGCCTACTCACCACGCTGGCGTGCCGCTCCAGTGAGCCGCTGCTCTCGTTCGGCGAGCTGACGCTATCCATCTCGCCCAGGAACTGGCTGGACGAGCTGCTGGACGTGCTGGCCAGGCTGTCGTGCTTCTTGTGACCCAATCTGTGGGAGGGAGGCCTGAGCTCAGCACGCTTTTTCGGACCGTGGACGGACGTGGTCAGCAAGGTGAGGCCTCAACACTGGGGCCACGCCTCAGCAAGTAAATGCACGTGGTCACAGATGACCTGCAGCACCTGCGATTAAGCTCCATATAGCTAAAAAAAAACACAGAAAAGTGGCGAGCTACGGCACATAAAAAGGCTTGTTGCACCGCCTGGCTTTCCACTGTGAATCACGAGAAGCCGGATACAGCGTATCGCAACGACAGAGGGCGGACATATCTTATCCGACGCGGTTGTCATTGTTAGCGTGACTAAGATATCACCCATGCGACAAACACGATAACAGTTTGTTGCAACCGTTATCGGAGCGACGAGGGCAACACCGACGGTAGAAATGCACGATCTCACAGGCACCGGCACTAGTCCAGATGTATGAGTACTGGCCTGGAACCGACAACATTTCACTGACATCGGTGATGGTACCAGCTCTCGATGCATTCAGCACGATTCGGAATATCAGTCCGTTAGTATAAAGCCTTCGGTGAGTAGGGCATCTTGATGTATCTGATTGTTTCTGGAAGGTTTCCTACTTGTAGGGCGTCTTGTTGCATTTGGGTTCAAAATGCCCGCCAAGCCCCATGCTCCATGTCTGTTTCCCGCTTCGACGCTGTGTAGTGGCCCGTTTCTCTTTCCCTCTCACCCAAATGCCAACTCCGCCCTCCACCGCCTCCGCCGGACGATGCCCCCCGGCTAAAATTCTACGTTACCGCGCTCACTGTCACTGCCTCTGTCCAGCTTTCGTCATCGTGGCTTCGTTTCTCTCCATTCAGTCCAGGTACTCACTACCTTCCCATCGGGCTTAGCTGTCACTTTCAACCCGAGGGCATTTAACACGGGTGTGCGTTTTCGAATGCCGGTTAAGTTCCAGTACGATCAGCCACGCGTTGCTCCGGTGCCGCCAGTACTAATTCAGTGCCGGCTATCAGCAGTGGGGTACCCAATTATGCACCATATACGAAACCTAACATCCAGTTCAGCATTTATCTTCAGTACTTCAATTTAAGGCCATCAATTTCTTCATAAACACAGATAATGCAGAATTATTATCCATTTGCTGAAAGTAGCAGAAGCTCAGAGACGCGCACTGAAGAGCTGAAGCACGCATTCACGATAACCAACACATCCCTACCATAGACGAGTCACAAAGCAGGCATTTCGCCTTAGGCAACATAGCTCTACCCCTCCCCTCCAGCTTAACCAAACCGAAGGTTTCTATCGCGTGTTTACATAGCTACGTTGCATCGGTCTTCCGATCGATGCTGATCCAGCGTGCTCATCAACTTTGCGCGAAGGTCACACGCTTTGTGTAAACAGCCGGTATAGCGTCAGACATAATGTAACATTAACATCACGAAAACGGAGCAATCGCGGGATATTAGTAACGCCGATGGGTTGTTGGAGGTGGCGGATCAAACGCATGGCGCATGGGACGTAAACAGGGTTACTAGAAAAACGGCCACCACAAAAGCCGCAATTTGATACAAAAGACTGAGCTGGATGCATTAGATCCATCGTAGGTTAGCCGAAATCACGCAACATTTCGTTCATACGCGAGGATGTCGCTGCATATTGAAATGAAGGTGAATCTTTGTGTTATCCGCGGCACTTAGAACCACATTTAGTGGCCTCCAGCCCTTCCTTGCATTTTCTCAGGTCCCTTGGTCCTTGGTATGTCGATCTATCACTGGCACGCGCTTTCACAACTGTTCGCTGGGAAGAGTAATAAACCCTGAAACTGGGGTTGGTATAGCTGGCTGGAAATGGTTAGACCGCAGATTTTAGCCAATCACCCTCAGATTTCCTGCAGCGAAACTATAAACCTCATTTCAAAAGCAATTAACCTTCCTTTTGTGAAAGCAGCGCAGGCGTTATCACAACAAACCCTGGCTACAGCCTTGCACTTGCATCCAACCCGTCCGTAATCTGCTGCATCAGAGCAGGCCACGGGGAACGCGGCCCCGGGCCGGGCCAGCACTCGAGGCTGTCCGACGGGTTATCGTATCGATCGGACACGGCAGGGTGTGGTCGCCAGCCTCTGGCCAAGGTGACCGACCTGCTGACACGAGCTAGCCAGCACTCCGTCCCCCCCCCCCCCCCCCCCCACTCATCCTCGTTCCACCCACGACGTGTTCAGTCATATGCATCCCATCACGGAACGTTGGCCAGGGGATGAAGTGGATGCTAATACAGTATCGTGGAATAGGTTAAATGGGTAGGGCAGAAAATAACTTTGTGGCAAAGGCACAAGCCGTAGGACTATTC